CCGCGACTGGAATCGCGTGAGGTATGCCTTGGGCCTTAGAAACTCATGCTGCCCTGGGGAACAATCGGAAACAGCGGGGATGATTGCAGGCGCTGCCCCACTTGAGCTACTCAGGCTCGACCTATGTTCCGTGCCCCATTTTTGGCTGAACACCAGATTATGAGGCACTTGTGGAAAGCAGTATCAGAATGGTACTACTGGTCCAATAAATCTTACCATGGCGCTCTCACGAGAAAAGTAATTGTGGGGTACTAAGATATTGCCCAAGCGACAGGTTAGGTGGTATACTCACGGCTGAGAAACTCATCTCCAAACTGGACCCCATGATCGCATTAACGGACGAGACTTGCCTCGTTTTTGCATAATTCCCACGACAGTCTGGCGTGGTATGAAGTCATGAAAACGGATCCTTCAGCGAAAGCATGCGAGCACGATGCAAATCGTCCGTTTCGATCCTGGAGTCCAGTTTGGAGGCGAATATCTCAGCCTTGATCAGATCCTTCACCTGCCGCTTGGGTAGTGTCTTAGTTGGGGCCTCAAGAATACTTTCCAAGCGAGACTCCTACTGGTCCATATTTGCCTGGACCCTGCCTTCAAGGCGCTTGTGACACAGCCTTAGAGTTTTCATGCGTAGGTTCTGTATAGGGGCGGCAAGCCCTTAGAGGCTTACTCCCGCACATTTTCCTCAGTGTGGCATTACCCCTTCCTTTCATTGAACCAAAGAAGTTGGACATTCCTAGAGCGTTGAGGACGTCATCATTGATGGTTCTACGAAGGACCCACCATTGCTGAAGCTTTTCCGCCGCTGTAGAACCCGATTGGTGTGCATCTCAGCCCGTGTTATCCATCTTCCCTGAAAAAGCAGTCGATGTCAGGTGCGTGACTTGACCCAAAGCAATAACCGTACTTGTAAGTACAAGATGAACTGCTCAGCCTTTTTGCTTGGAGTTGTTCTTTATAGAACCAGTCTCGCTTTCCCTGAAAAATCTCAGATTATCAGAATAGAAGTAAGAAGTAAAAGTTCAACATTCGCGAGTGTAGAGATACAAATGGAATGTACGAAGGACTGCCAGAATATGATAGTGCAAAGTCCAAAGTGCAACACAAATAATCGATGGAATTTGGGGCCAAGCTGACAATCTTTCTGTAGACAGTCACATAACTGACTTCCTTTAATGAGAAGAAGCTGCTCGAAGCTGCTCGACCTTCGTACCTTGCTCATAGAAGTGGTACAAGTTATTGATGAGCTGCACTGCAAAGACTTGGCCTAAGCGTCACTTAAATTTTTGCATAGTCATCCTCATCTTCGTAGGAAGTTCATAATCTCACACACTGCCTATTTGATAAAGGAAGAAAGTTTAATAATGTGGTCATTTGTAAAAAGGTATGTTATTAGATGTGCCCTGAAGCACTGATTCCGTATGTGCATGTAGCCGCTATACGATCCTCCGAAAGTAGGTCTAAACGTTTTCACCATATAAATTCGCATTGTTTTGATAAACGATAGCTATCGGCAAACTTCATACATCTCCCCAGACAATAGTTTTAGAAATCATCGTCCCCCTCTTATTCCGGAAAGATTCAGGAAAGAAAGGCACTCTGAGGCTGACTTTTCGAGCAACACCATGTTGAAATGGCTCCACCATCTTCTTGGACTTTTACTTGGAGATTACTCATCGTGCTGACTCAGTGCCAGAAAGCGCTTCGTTGGTACCGCTCTTCACTTACTGGTAGAATATTGATATAATATATGTACCAGAATGTTCGAACTTTTACGTCAATGCGCTGAAATAAAGGTTTAGAGGGAAACAAAAATTCTTCTTACTTAGAAGTTAACTCTCTTACTTTAGTCACTCCACCTCCCGCATATGCAGCAAGAACGCCTCGATGGCGGTTGGCAGACGGGCTGGACCCTGGTTCCGACAGAGTATTTAGCTCCAAGACAGCGCCAATCTCAAGTACTTGAGATTTGAGAGAAGGTGAAACCATGATCTGCTACTGTGAAAAAAGCCAGCAAAAGTCCTCACATGATGCTTTATTCGTAAATTCTTTTAAATAAATGCCGTTGTAATCAAGGTGTCACGAATTTGAGTGACTGCGAGGGAGACGTATTGGAGCATCAGCTGCAAAGAGTAAAAAGTTGCTTCTTTTTCAAAGCGTATGTCTTACTATAGCAAACTTCTAGACACAGTGTGTTCTTCACAGAGGAGAGATTCATAGGTGAAAGCAACTTTGTTTGGATATGTCCCTGTCAGTTAGCCCTTTCGGACCTGGTGGTGGCAATCGCCACCATCAACTTCAAATGGTACTGATGCTTGCGCAACAGCATTTTTGTAATCCTTACCACTACACATTGCTTCAGACGGCCTTTTCCTTCCCAAGAGTAGTTTGCAGCCCGCATTTCATCCACAGTGATGTTAACAATACAAGAATCTTCATGTGCATCCAAATCGCAAAAAATCAATAACGGTTGCTAGTCGGAGCATCTGCTAAGAAAATGCTTGTTAATCCCTTAGATAGTTGAGATATATTTGAACTATCACCAAAAGCATGAAGTATGATTTTATGCAAGACATTTGCTATAAGCTTGCAACTCAGGTCTGTTGCAAAAATCTGAAAATCAGAAGAAGGTTTGGAGAAAAAATAGAAAATAAAACCATTT